TGAGCTGTACAGGGCCTTATAAGTTAGTATCTGTAGTAATGACTAATGACAAAATTAAACACTGTCTCCAGTTATTATAGGTTATAGTGAAGACTCCACCCTTTAACTTGTTCTTGCAGCTACTGTGGTACCTCTGGTTACGTACTTAATTCGTTCCAGAGGTCCATACTTAACCTGAAACTGTTCTTAACCTGAAGCACCACTTTAGCTAATGGAGCCTCCAGGTGCCACCGCACCACCGGAGCACAATTTCTGTTCTCATCCTGAAGCAAAGTTCTTAACCCGAGGTACTATTTCTGGGTTAGCGGAGTCTGTAACCTGAAGCGTATGTAACCTGAAGCGTATGTAACCCGAGGTACCACTGTACTTTCATTCTCCTACGCAGCTGTGTTCATCAATAAACTGCCTCTTTGTCTGGGCTTACAAAGCGAGAAGGACTGCCCTATATTAAATAAGAACGTTAACAGCACCAAAACTTTGAACTTGGCCCAGTAACAGATCAGCAGCCCGTTCAAATCCCGCAAACATGGTGTTATATATGCTGGCAGGAGTTTTCTGCCCACAAGCAACCTAGCCACAAACTTCTCTATTTCCTGCCTGTGTTCTCTTCCCAGTTGTCTCTATTGGATTGTAAGATTCTGTCTACTTTTTCCTATGTAACTTGGTAAGCCAACACATACATTATTTACACAGGCCCATCAGTGTATCGGCTCAATAAATATGCCATTTACCTCATCCTAGTTTTTACTTGGAACGCTATCTAAAAGGTCTAAACGCCAGCTTGTAAATTTCTTCACAAGCCTTTTTAAATGCTTTTGTTTCTATTTGGTTGCTCTTCTAGGCAACTTATATGATTTTAAGCCCATTTCAATTCACTCAAATACAGGATGGGGTTGAACAGGGTGCAAATCCTCTGGAAATTAAAAGTACTCAAGTACATAGCTTGCACCACCTGCAGCATTGTTAAGTTTGGCCACAGCACCTGGAAGCTCATTGCATAGCAGGGCTGGGGCGCCTTGGGCCTGCCGAATGTTAATAAACTACAATTCCCATTAGCCCCAGCAAACATGGCCAATGGCTACGGATTGTGGGAGTTGTAGCTCAACAAATTCGGGGGGAGGGGGCAAAGGTTCTACACACACCGGGTATACTGAATGAAGTGTGCTTGACTACTGGTGAAAAGTGTTTGTGTGTGTGCGCGCATTAAGATGGAGGATCAGAGGGTTTTCTTTAGGATAAGACTATGGCACTGCATCTTCACAGAAACATAGAAAGCCTGAGTGTCCCACAAGTGCCTGGGAACTGATCCTGGTGTGTATATGTATATATGTGTGTGTGTGTGTGTGTATTGTTGTTCTTGTTTAGTCATTTAGTCGTGTCCGACTCTTCGTGACCCCATGAACCAGAGCACGCCAGGCACTCCTGTCTTCCACTGCCTCACGCAATTTAGTCAAACTCATGCTGGTAGCTTCGAGAACACTGTCCAAACATCTCGTCCTCTGTTGTCCCCTTCTCCTTGTGCCCTCCATCTTTCCCAACATCAGGGCCTTTTCCAGCGAGTCTTCTCTTCTCATGAGGTGGCCAAAGTATTGGAGCCTCAGCTTCAGGATCTGTCCTTCCAGTGAGCACTCAGGACTGATTTCCTTCAGAATGGATAGGTTTGATCTTCTTGCAGTCCATGGGACTCTCAAGAATCTCCTCCAGCACCATAATTCAAAAGCATCAATTCTCCGGCGATCGGCCTTCTTTGTGGTCCAGCTCTCACTTCCACACATCTCTACTGGGAAAACCATAGCCCTACCTTACACTGTTTATTATTAAAAACATGTGTATGATGTCTTTTAAGATTATACCCTTTGTTGTGTTCAGCAAGTCTTTTATTTCCACCTCGCACTCAAGTGTGCAAGGTGTGTGTTGATGTGTGATGCTAGCCCACCAAGGAAACGTTTCTACTTGTCTGATTGTGGGTGGGAGGTAGATATGGCAGCATGTTATTACCCTTATCTGTGACGACAGAGGATTACGGCAAATCTACAGGAGTGCTCAGCCTGCAGAGATGCTGTAATGGGTCAACAACTCAGTTTCCCAATAATCTCATGTCTGGCCCTTATGTTATCAAGATACACTGGGCAGTGTATGGGCAGCACCTGCTTAACAGAGGCAATTTTAGGGTAGAGGGACCATTTCAGCCACCCTGGGTACCGCACTGCAGGGGTCACCAGAACAATGCTGTGGATTGTGGAATGAAGCACACGAGGCAGAGGCCACCAAATGTTAGTCTCGCATAGGACACCACTGAAATTTGGAAGCCCAAAGTTCACCACTGTGCTGACAACCCAGAAGGCAAAGGAATGCCTGAATAAGATTTACAATGGTTGGGAAATCCTCTTACCAGTCACGGAAGTGGTAAAACTAGAATAAAATTTACCCAAAATAGTAACAAATTATGGGTTGTAGCAAATGCTAGCACTACTCAGAATAGATCCACTGAACTTAATAGGCATGACTAACCAAGTTTTATTAATTTCAATGGGTCCACTCCAAGTATATTTATTGCATCATTTCCGTAGTTTATACACTTAAGACTTTCTTGGCACAAAATTTCTGTGTCTTTATTTATTTAGAATGGAGTATGCACACAACTTTGCCTGCTAGCAACTCAAGAAACAACTGATACGACCACAGCCCTTCCAAAATCCTAAGTAATATATAATTAGCTACTCGATGCTCATCTTGACCTACCACATTATCATTCTTCAGCATTTCCAAACAAAGTAACCAACAAAGCAGTCCTGCAAATGTGTGCTCAGAAGACCCACTGCACTCAATGGGGCTCATACCCCAGGTAAGCATGCATTGGATTGCGGACTAAAACCAACCAACACACACTATTTTACATGGGTTTCCAACCCACTTTCTTAGATAAGAAAGCACACATTGTATCAGCATGCTCAGGAAAACACAGACAACTAAGCAATGGCTGCCTGCTGGAGACAATAATGTATAATATGCCTCAAGGGCTTTTTGTTCTGACCTCAGCGCAAATCATGAGACTATCAGACTCATGACGGATCACTTACTGGAAAGCTTCAGAAAGAAGGGGAGCTTGTAAACAGACAGGCTCCAGAGCCTTATTACATATACGAGCATCATAAAATGTGCATATCTGTCAATCTGTTTACATTGTGGTTTTTCGAAACCTTAACTGTAGGCAAGAGGTTCTCTCTCTTCTTCTTCTTCTTTCTCTCTCTCTCTCTCTCTCTCTCTCCAGGACTCCTAATAAATTACAGGATCAAATACAAATTGGCACCCCAATTCTACAATGCTTACCATTGGCTTTCAGCTGAACTAATTTTCCACTACATCCATACACACCTCAAACCAAACATATTTACCATATTTTCCTGACTATAAGATGCCCCCATGTATAATACGCCCCCTATTTTTGGGAACTCAGATTTAAGAAAATCCACCCTCGGCACTATCTGTGTATAAGATGCCCCCTAATTTTTGACATTAATTTTTAGGGGGGAAACCTAGTCTTATAATGGAAAAATATGGTAATTGGAAGTAACTTCAGTTACTATAGGCAGTCATTCTTCACACAATTTTCTGAAAGTAAACTCCACTGGAGCATATGATGCAAGTATTATTTAGGATTAGTGCGATGGTTTAGTGCAGCTATCCAACCAATTGTCATCTGTTGCTGACCTTCAGAGGCAACTGTTGAGAACCATTTTCTTAATTCGATTTAAAGAGGCTTAAGAAAGCGCTGGCAACACATGTCAATTAATTTTGAGTGTTGCTGGCCTATTAGCTTTCCCCAAGTATAAATTACAGCAAGCAAATCATATGCTGGACTGAAATGTTCATGGCCACACTCTGCCCGGCCAAGTAGAAGGGTAATCTAATGTTATTTGATCAGTTCCAAATAGTTTTCAGCCTCCAGTTGGCAAGAGAAGGAAGCTGTGCTGCCAGCAGTGAAATAATATTTTTTTTAAAAAAAAATTGCTTTTATTAGAGATTTTCTTGGGTTGCAAAAGTACATACAGCACCTCTATTTTCAGATCATAAGGTTCTTTCTACAGATCAGTTATATTATTTGTAAGACTTTAATGCTGTATAAAGCATAATTTTTAAAAAGTAAATTAGAAAGTTGAAAAAGAGATGATGGTTGTGCCTATGCTTGTTTACACAAAAGCAGTGCTTTTTCCCTAAAAAAAATATATGTGTAGGGGTACTCTCATTTTCCTACTCATATTGAAATACTGCCCCTCAATGAGGCCAAATTTAGATTCACAAAATGTTTAGGGGTATGTGTACCCCTGAATCCCCCCGAAAAAAGCATTGCACAAAGTAATCCTATGACATGTACCTTGGTAGTAAGCCACAGTGCAAGGAGTGGGATTTACTGCCAAAAAAATGCACATAGAACCAGGCTGCAAAACAGTGATCCCAAACCCATTTCTTTAGGTTTAAGCCATGCCCAGCATCAGGCTGCAGGTAAGCCAGCGCCACTGAGCCTTCCAGGTAAATGTGTTTAAAAGCAGGTGGGAGGCCGATTTCCTAAATTCGCCTATTTAGAAGCAAACTGCGCTCAAGTGTAATAGGACTATCAACCGTAGATCAGGCACAACATCTATGAATGGGAAGGAGGAGACGCATCATCGAGGGTTTCAACTCTTCCTTTTTATCTCTAGGAAAAACTAAGGGGAGCGGCGGATCATTTGTCTCCGGGGATCAACATTTCACAGACAGAAAGATGAAGCGAGGAGGGACGCGCTGGGCTTTGCTCCCTTCAGGTCTGCGATGCCCTGAAATTAAAGAAAGCGACATCTTCGCTCGGCTCGGGTGCCAGCGCGCCATGCCTGCGCGCAAGGGAGCGCTTTCACGCTATGAGCAAAAGCCAGGCAATATTTCCCCCTTTTTTTTTGCTTTGACGCGCTCGGCAGGACGCCTTGGCAACGGCAGGCAGCGCCGACCCCTGCCCGGATACTCACGTATCTATTAATAAGAGTCCTGAGGCGGCTGCAATCCATGGCGAGGCGACGGGCAGCTGCTCAGGCGGCTCTCAGCCTCCTCCTGCGCCGCCGCCGCCGCCTGCTCCTTCTGCTACAGGCGGGAGACTCCAGCCAGGGGGAGCTTCTCTCTCTGCCTCTCGGTCGCCGCCGCCGCTCTGCTACTTCCTACATCCACCACCACGCCGGAGTTTCTGTCTCATGGCAGCCGCAGCCACATCCCTGCCCTGCCTTGACCTGCCGGGGATTCTTGGCGGGCGATTCTTCCGCTCAGTCAGGCGTGCGCCTGGCTGGGGCGCCTCGCTTGCCTCTGCCCATGTGCGCTCAGCCAGCCAGCCGTCCCCGGCAGCTCGCTCCGAAAAGGCGGCGGCGGTGGAGGAGGAGGAGCAGCAGGAGGAGGATTATGGGGGGGAACAAAAGGCAACTTTGCTCGGAGACTTGCGCAGGGAGCGGGGTCCCCCCCGCGCTTCAGGAAACTTGGCCCCTAAGCCCGGCTGCCGCCCGCGCAATGGCTCTCCGTGTGGCGAGCTCCCCGAGAGCCTCGGGGTCTTCTCACTCGCGCTTTGATCTTTCCCTGCTTAGCCAGTCAGCTCACGTCATTCGGTGCGGGCGAGCATGCGCGCTCCGAACTTCTCCAGTACAACAACACACACCCCTTTACGCCTCCCTCCCCTCTCTCTTTGTAATATATTTCTTTTGCACACGGGTGCGCTCAACGTTGAGCGCATTACCTGAAGCTTGAGCCTGGGCTTCGCTCCGTACAGAAGTCACCCGGCCAAGCAAAAATTAAAAAAAAGGTGGAGAGGCGAGAAGGAAAGGATGAGCTGTTCCACATCCGCCGGTGTGTGTGTGTGTGTGTTGCAATAAATGGAGAGCATCAAAAGCCTTTTTGTGCCCTGTGTCTTCTACAAGGAAGCTGTGAGAGCTGCTTTTTGTTTTGTTGGCTCGGCCAGTGGGGGCGTAGAAACAATCCCCGCAACAACTTCCGTCCAACCTGCCACTCCAGGAATGTATATGCGCTGATGGTAGGGGGATTATGCACAGAAGACGAGAAAGGCTTCGTGTGTTGCAGATCTGAGAAAATGGCCAGGGAAGCGCGGCTAAAAAGAAGGGGACCTGCTGCCAACAGGCCGTTTCCGTTTGTTTCCTGAGATCACTCCCCTCGCCCCCTCAAAGGTAGCAGTAGCTAGGTGACGGCTGCCTAGGTTGCAGTTGGAGCCCCTGAAGGGAGCATCAGAGGTGAGGTGCTGCTAGAAAGCTTTTGAGCCTCCTGGGAACTCCAGGGCAGAGAAGACTGTCTTGGCGGCCTTGTAGATTTCTAGAACAGGAAAACAACAACGTGGTACATATATTACAGGAGCCAACTTCTGAGAATTTACAAGCTAATAAATATATGCACCACCTGCCAGTGGCGTAGCGTGGGGGGTGCAGGGGGGGCCGGCCGCACCGGGCGCAACATCTGGGGTTAGGGCAAATCCACAGGTTAGGGGGCGCAAATCCACGGGTTAGGGGGTGCAAATCCACGGGTTAGGGGGCGCAAATTACTTGCCTTGCCCCGGGTGCTGACAACCCACGCTACGCCACTGTCACCTGCCCTCATCAGCCACAATGGGAAAGGAATCTTAATTTTCCTCTAGAGTAGGAGAGCAGCCGGTTACCACTTGAATATTTCTCCCTTCTTCTCTCAGAGAGTCCTCACAATAACAACACACAGCTTCAGACATCTACATTAAGCAGAAGGGAAGGAAGGGCATTTTTTAAAGAGGATGTGGTGGTGAATGACTCAGGTACCCAGCATTTCTTTTGAAGAGGCACTGTGCTGGCTGTGGTGCAAAATGTGCCCACCTGAAAGTGCCCTGAACCCCAGTGGTCGTTCCCACTATCTGAGAAACACTGTTCTAGAAGCTTGTCCCTCAAACTTCTGTGGGTACACTCAAATGTTTCCCAGGGTTTCTACTTGTTTTGCTGGGGCAAAGATTAGGGACCTGTTACGTACAGCAGATGGGAAAGAGGACTGGTGAGAGGTGCCATGCCTTGGAATGTCTGAAGGCACATTATTTCTGGAAGTGGATCCAGCAACTGTGGTAATAAGGACAAATAAGAACCTCCATTTTTGTAATCAAACATGGGCTTTCATAAGCATCTGCTTAGCCTCCTTTCACTTCTCAAACCCCTGCTTTTATGTCCCATTCCAGGTGCCATTGCACCCTCCACATCTGCAATTTTAATTTTAAGAAATCAATACACTTTCAGTATAAATAATAGGGAGGTGGGGTGGGGGAGTTTCAGACACGGTCCTGGAATCTACCAGCCTTTCAGAATGAATGGGTTCTCTTTCAGAGCCCATAGCATTTGCCCCATATGAGTAAACAATTGTTCTTGAAGGCATAGGTGGGTTTATTAATCTTTGTGGGGGTTTTATATTTTTGCTAGGATTTTAAACCAGAGCTGATTCTCTTAAAGTATCAGTTTAACAGTAATGCAGATACTGTCAATTTATACACACTTCATAGGCAATTGGATTGACTGGTTTCTCAAAAATGTTTTTTATTTTTATCGTGGCTGTTTATTTCTATAAATTTAAGCGATTACATGACAAAAGATTCCCTAAATGTTCTCCGTTATGAGAAACCACAACGTTTTGCTTTAATTGAACAAATTTATCAAATGCAAGTCTGTTAATTGATTCGAAAACTTTCAGTCACTTGGCAGTGCTAATACACAATTATATAAAAGCGCAAATGCCACCACTTGCCCAGTAGATTACACCACAAGATGCTACAGTGGAACTATATGGCAAGCTGATGCATGAATCAACTCTCCACTCCAGATATTCATGATGAAAAAGCACATGGTACAAAACAAACACTTTCTCAGCAAGCATATTGGAAAGAGTAACACAAAGTGGTTTGGTTTCAAAGGATTAACCGTGAAAATAAACAGTGTGTGGATACATATTACTAATAATATCACTGTATCGCACAGAGCTGCTTGATTGCCAAAGAAAGGCAGCACAGAGGAAGTCATGTGGAAATATAAGTCACTGATTTGTCTTCCTTCAGTTTATGTAAATACTGTTGTGTGCAACCCACTCTCAGAGCAGACTCCAGGAGTTTCAGCCAGGGTTCGGATTGCTTGAAATGAAGGTCAATAGAGACTGTGGTGTCTATAGGGCATGTGGTTTTAATTACACATATATACAACCTGAGCATAGGATGGAAGAGCTCACAGCATTAATACCCTAACAGATCTTTCCTCCTTGTTAGGCATCCATGGAAATCCCAAGCTTCTGGTCCAGCACAGAGTAAGACAATTCTCTGTGTCTCCAGCTTAACGCAGGAAAAATATGAAGCAGTATGAAAAGAGTGCCTCTGAACATGTGCAGATTCACAGCCATGATTTCAAAATCAGAATTATTATTAGATTCCCCAACCAACCTCACCATAACAGTTTTTGTCATTTCTATTTGGATCTAGAGCCTCACACTGACCTTGTTGATGCACTTGTGATTTGCCTGAGCTGCCTTAGGTTTCAGAAGGGGCTGAAAGCAAGTTGACCCCTCCGGTGAAGTGTTAAACCCCCATGGAATCAGTCCTGAAAAACCCAGTTTGATGGGTTAGGGATTGGCTGAGTCTTCTTCATACATGCTCAGTGCTGTGGTAGTTTAATTCCTTTTTGTTGTTGCTGCTGTTGCAACTCTGTTTCACCACCACCACCTACAGTTCTCAGAAGCCTGATCCTTTCACATTTACTCAGGAAGAATCCTCACTGAATATGGGAAGCAGAAATGCATCTTCTTTCTGCTCCAGACAATTACTTCCCCTTTGTCATTCAGTGACTTGATTCAATGTAATGCAATGCATTTTAGAAATGCCTCTTCGGGGCTTATACGCCTTCAGCATTCCAGCCAGTAACAACAGATCCTCAAATATGACAATCTAAAAACCGAGAGAGGTTTTTGCCTCTCAGAAATACCTTTAGAATCTCTTCTATTTTCAGGGCATCTGCCTACTATGCAGATGCATCAATATACAGATGTCACGCCATTCTAATTCTCTTTTACATCAGGGACAAATAAAGCTTTTGGGGTTCTAACCACCACCTGAAGGTGTTAATGGGCTGGATTGTGGCTAACAAACTGAAGTTCAAACAGATAAGAATCTGATAACACTGATAGTCTTTACTTGGACTTTGTTATTTTAACCCATGTGCAACTGTACTCATTTTACCTGCCTATTTTATAGTTTTGTGTTTTTGTGTTTGTTGTTAGAATTGTTCCCTCTGTTTTATATACATTATAAAATGAGATTGAAGATAACCTTTCCAAAACAAAAACAGACAAGAATGAGGAAGATTGAGCCCCTTCTCCAGAGTCAATCTGGTTTGGATGATGTGGGGAAAATAACATGTTCTCAGTTTGGGAATGCTCTGGAATCAGATTTACACAGAGATAACCAGGTGGCAACAGAGGTCTGAACATGGAGTTCCTCTGCTCAATCCAAATAATAATAATAATAATAATAATAATAATAATACCCCACCCATGTGGCTGGGTTTCCCCAGCCACTGTGGGCGGCTTCCAACAGAATATTAAAAACACAATAAAACATCAAACATTAAAAACTTCCCTAAACAGGGTTGCCTTCAGATGTCTTCTAAAAGTCAGTTAGTTGTTTATTTCCTTGACATCTGATGGGAGGGCGTTCCACAGGGCAGGTGCCACTACCAAGAAGGCCCTTTGCCTGGTTGCACACATGCTTGAGAAAGTAAGACATGGCTACAGTAAGACATTTCTTAGTTACATCAGTCCTGGGTTACTGGAATGCAGTCTACATAGTATGAGTGTCCCCACCCAAAAGTCCAGTGCAGACAGGTAAGGTCTATTACTTGTATCTACAGGTTGTTGACTATTTGCAGTTTATATGACTGAACCCCTCATGCCATAACATGGTGCCAAGAGAAACAATGAGGCAATGAGAAATGTGTTGTTTGTGATTTACTGCATTGCATGGGATTGTACATTTCAGAACTACTGTAACTTCTAACAACTTGATTTATTTGTCCATTTCGCAACAACAGAGTAAGGCACTAGAAAGACAATTTGTCCATTGAACAACAATACTAAGTCAAATTAAAAACTGAATTTCACACCTTTTACACAGAATCTGTCTTGAATTGATTAACTTTTTTGTGGGGGGGGAATGCTTGAACAGTGTTCTCGAAGCTACTAGCATGAGTTTGACCAAACTGCGGGAGGCAGTGGAAGACAGGAGTGCCTGGTGTGCTCTGGTCCATGGAGTCACGAAGAGTCGGACACGACTAAACGACTAAACAACAACAACAAATGCTTGTCTGTATATAACATAAAGGAGAATAAAACACAAAGTGGGTCATTTTTTTAACAAAATCTGGTATCCTTGAAGGTCTTGGCCAAATCAGTCAATAACTTCTTCTACAAATTTGTTATTGGAATAGTTCTTCAACTTTTCTTTATGGGCAACGAACAAACACAAGCCAGGCAATTGATCTCCACTCATTGTCAAATGTAGCCATGTTTTCACCCAGCACAAAGTGCTTAAGGACTGTTTATTTGTACATGTTTTAACTGGGAGGG